CATGTCTGGGAGCGTCTCCTGATGAGGCAAGTCGACATGGTCTGCACTGTCATCGAGGCCATCCGCGTGCGCCTCTGCAGGCACAGGCTCTGGGATGCAACTCCTGGAAGGTTACACATTGCATCGGTGCTGGTACTTCCGCGGTCGATGACCAGCCCGACGTGCACGAGCCTGGCTGAGTCCGGCTTGGCTCCGCTTGGTGCGGCTGAAAGTCTGGCTTGATCCTTGGCCCGATTTGGCCGAGTCCGGCGGAGTGGCCGTCTCATCGGGCTCCACCGCCCTGCATCGTTCCGACCCCAAAGATCCGACGTCGCGATTTCTTCCATACGGGGTCCCCACGATGTCTCGACCCCTTCCCCAGGACCAGCTTCTCATCCTGAGTCGTTTTCTGACGGTGCCGGGGCCCGGCGAGGGCCCCCCGAGGCCGAGAATGGTCAAAACCCCCCCGTCCCTGATTTTTTGAACGACGCGATCATGTCTGGGCCCGGGAGCTGCCTCCTCACAGGCTGCTCCTCCAGCTCGGCGCCGCGGCCGCGCTAGGGGCGCCCGCGGCTGCCGCGGCGTGGCTGCTGGCGTCCGGCGCCGTGCTCGCGCCGGGCGCCTGGGCCTGCTTCGGCGTCCTCGCGACAGCGGGGCCGGCTGCCGCCGCGGGCCCGCCACTGGCCAGCCACCGGCCTCCTCCTCCTCCTCCTCCTCCTCCTCCTCCTCCTCCTCCTCCTCCTCCTCCTCGGGTCGACTATTGCCTCGGGGGCGTTTTCGTGATGGGCTTGTTTTCCACCACCACCATAAGTTGGAGGGGGGAAGGAGGTGCCGACTCCTTGACTCAACGTTCCCGCCCGTTTTCTGCCGAATTCCGTTCCTCTTTCTCTCGTTATCTCTCCTCTCTTCTCCTCCCCCTCTCTCTCTCTCTTGTCTCTCTCTCTCTCTCTCTCTCTCTATCCTCCTCCCTCTCTTGACTTTCTCTCTCTCTCTCTCTCTCTCTCCTCCTCTCCTCTCCCTTCCTCTCTCTCTCCTCCTCCCTCTCCTCCTCCCTCTGTCTCCCTCCTCCCTCTCTTGACACTCTCTCTCTCTCTCTCTGTCCTCCTCCTCTCCTCTCCTCCCATTCATTCTATGTACCCCGCCCCGTCACAAAAGGAATCGATATGTAAATCCGCTTCCCCTGTGTCCACCTCCGCCTCCTACTCCTCCTCATCATCATCATCATCTTTCTCCTCCTCACACAAGGAATCCATGTGGAGGCCCCTCCACATAAGGGATCGATATGTGAAGATCCTCCCACATAAGGAATCAATGTGTGCAGGCTCCTTCACATAAGGAACTCATCTATGAAGGCTCCTCCCACATAAGGATTCAACATGTTGGAGGCCCCTCCACACAAGATATCAATATGGAGACCCCTTGCACATAAGGAATCAATATGCGGCGGTCCCTCCACAGACAACCTCAATCTGTGGAGGCCCCTCCACATAACGAATCTGTATTCGAAGGCCCATCCACATAAGAAATCCATGTGGAGACCCCTTTGACCTAAGAAATAAATATGTGGAAGTCCTTCCACAGACGAAATCAACATGTGGAGGTCCCTTCCACATAAGGATCAATATGTGGAGGACTCCCCCCCCACAAGAGGAATCAATATGCGCGAGGCCCCTTGCACATAAGGAAAAAATATGGGGGAGGCCCCTCCACAAAAGGAAACAATATCATCTTTCTCCTCCTCATCTTTCTCCTCCTACTCCTTCTGCTCCTTCTTATCCTCAACCCCTGCGCCAGAGCGGGAGGAGCAGGAGGAGGAGGAGGAAAAGGAAATCACCCGTCGCAAAAGAACTCAATTGGTGGAGGTCCCTCCACAGACGGAATCAACATGTGGAGGCCCCTCAACTTAAGGAATCGATAATTTGAAGGCCCATCCACATAAGGAATCAATGTGTGCAGACCCCTTCCAACATAAGGAATCAACAAGTGGGAGGACCCTCCAAAAAAGAAATCAATATGGAGACCCCTTGCACATAGGGAATCAATATGTGGAGGTCCCTCCACAGACGGAATCAACATGTGGAGGCCCCTCCACATGAGGAGTCAATATGTGGAGGATCCCCCACAAAAGGAAACAATCTCATCTTTCTCCTCCTCATATTTCTCCTCCTACTCCTTCTGATCCTTCTCCTCAACCCCTGCGCCGGAGTGAGAGAAGGAGGGGGAGGAGGAGCAGAAGGAGGAGGAGGAAAAGGAGATCGCCCGCCACAGAACGAATCAATATGTGAAGGTCCCTCCACAGACGGAATCAATATGTGGAGGCCCCTCCACATAAGGAGTCGATATTAAAAGGCCCATCCACATAATGAATCAATATGTGCAGGCCCTTTCACATAAGGAATCATTATGTGAAGGCCCCTTCCACATAAGGAATGAACAAGTTGGAGGCCCCTCCACATAAGAAGTCAATATGGAGATCCTTGCTCATAAGGGATCAACATGTGGAGGTCCCTCCACAGACGGAATCAACTTGTGGAGATCCCTTCCACATAAGGAAACAATATGTGGAGGATCCCCCACAAGAGGAATCAGGCCCTTTCCACATCAGGATTCAACGAGTGGGAGGCCCCTCCACACAAGATATCATTATGGAGGCCCCTTGCACATATGGAATCATTATATGGAGGTCCCTCCACAAATGGAATCAATATGTGGAGGCACCTACACATAAGGAAGCGATGTTTGAAGGCCCTTCCACATAAGGAATCAATATGTGCAGGCCCCTTCACATAAAGAGATAATATGTGAAGGCCCTTTCCACATAAAGAATCAACAAGTGGGAGGCCCCTCCACATAAGAAATCAATATGGAGACCCCTTGCACATAGGGAATCAATATGTGGAGGTCCCTCCACAGACGGAATCAATATGTGGAGGTCCCTCCACAGACTGAATCAACATGTGGAGGTCCCGTCCACATAAGGAATCAATATGTGGAGGATCCCCCACAAAAGGAAACAACATCATCTTTCTCCTCCTTATCTTTCTCCTCCTACTCCTTCTGCTCCTTCTTCTCCTCAACCCCTGCGCTGGAGTGGGAGAAGGAGGGGGAGGATGAGCAGGAGGAGGAGGAAGAAAAGGAAATCGCCCGACACAGAACGAACCGATATGTGAAGGTCCCTCCACAGACGGAATCAATATGTGGAGGCCCCTCCACATAAGGAATCGATATTTGAAGGCCCATCCACATAAGGAATCAATATGTGCAGGCACCTTCACATAAGGAATTATTATGTGAAGGCCCCTTCCACATAAAGAATCAACAAGTGGGAGGCCCCTCCACATAAGAAATCAAGATGGAGATTCTTGCGCGTAAAGAATCAACATGTGGAGGTCCCTCACAGACAGAATCAACATGTGGAAGTTCGGACGTCAGAAAACTTTGTAAACTGCCTCGTTTCTGAAGGGTGGACTGATGAAAACGCTGTGTTTTACAATGTTTTTTGTTTCGGAGGTCAGAAAGCATTGTAAAACACCGCGTTTTGAAGCTCGGATTGGTGAAAGCATTGTGTTTTACAATGTTTTGTTGATTCGGGTGTCAGAACAAATTGCAAAACATAATGTTTTTGGATGGGTGACTGTTGAAACGCTGTGTTTTACAATGTTTTTTTGTTTCGGGGGTTAGCAAACATTATAAAACACATTGTTTTGAAGCTCGGATTGCTGAAAACATTGTGGTTTGCAATGTTTTGTTGATTCGGGTGTCAGAAAACATTGTGAAACACAATGCTTTTGGATGGGTGACTGTTGAAACGCTGTGTTTTACAATGTTTGTTTTTGTTTCGGGGGTTAGCAAACATTGTAAAACATATTGATTTGAAGCTCGGATTGCTGAAAACATTGTGGTTCGCAATGTTTTGTTGATTCGGGTGTCAGAAAACATTGTGAAACACAATGCTTTTGGATGGGTGACTGTTGAAACGCTGTGTTTTACAATGTTTTTTGTTTCGGGCGTTAGAAAGCATTGTAAAACACTGTGTTTGGGATGTCGGATTGTTGAAAACACTATGCTTTACCATATTTATTATTGTTGGATGTATAAAAACATTGAAAAACATAGTTGTGCGACTGCTGAAAATGCTATATTTTGCCATGCTTTTTATTTCGGAAGTAAGCAAAACATTTTAAAATACAGTGTTCCAGAGGTCGGAGGCACCCGACGGACGCATCAGAAAAAGTTTTGAGGGGGGGGGGGCCGAAAAAAAACAGAAAATTCCCCAGAGGGCAGATTTTTGTTTTGGGGGGGGGTGGCGCCCCACCGCCCCCCCCCGAAAAAAAAATCGGCCCTCTGGGGGATTTTCTGTTTTTTTTTGCCCCCCGCAAACCTTTTCCTGGCCTCCTTTCAAAAGGAATCCTTTTGAGAGCCAGAGGAGGGAGGACGGAGGAGGAGGAGGAGGAGGTGGAGGAGGAGGAGGAACAGAGGGAGGAGGAGGAGGAGGAGGAGGGGGAGGAGGAGGAGGAGGAGCAGCAGCAGGAGCACGCGGAGTTGGAGGAGGAGGCGGAGGCGGAGGAGGAGGAGGAAGAGAAGGAGAGAGAGAGAGAGAGAGAGAGAGAGAAACAGAGAGAGAGAGAGAAAGAAAGAAAAGAGAGAAACAGAGAGAGGAGGGAAGACAGAGAGAGAGAGAGAGACAAATAACCAAACAACAAAGGAAATCAACAGAAAAAGGGCGGGAACGTTGAGTCAAGGAGTGGCCTCGACGTGGGCTGAAATTCATGGCTTTGCAAGAAGCGAAAGTAACGAACAACAGGAGGGCCCGAAACACACACACACACAAACAAACAAACAAAAATAAACAAAAACACACAAAAGCACACACACACACACACGCACAACGACATTCTTCCTTGGCGTCGCGGCCACGCGCGCAGCATCGCGGCACACACACACACAAGCACAAACACACATAAACACACAAACACACACACACACACACAAACAGCTGCAAACGCGGTAGCGGATATCTCATGGTATGCTACGGGTGCGCAACATTCCTCCGGGAGTTCTACCAGCAGTACCAGCGGCTGATGAGGGCCAACGTCGACAGCGTGTTCAGGGATTGCTACGCGCATTTCTTCATCCACGACGACGGGGAGGACTACCAGTACAGGTGTCGAATATCGGCGGCGACCTCGGGGGGAAGTGAGAGGAGGCAGGGGTTTTCAGAAGGCTCGGACGTCCCAAGGGTTTCTCAGAAGTTTTGTTAGCCTTCCCCGAATACGCAGAAAACTTTATAGAAGGCGCGAGGGCTTCTGAGAAGCTCAGTCGCCTTCTGAGAAGGCCTTCTCCTTCTCACGTCGCCCCCTCGCTCGCCGCCGAGTTCAGTTCTCGGGTCATAACTCGGGTCTCCAGCGGCCGTTCGGGACGATCAGGGCATCCCTGGAACACTCTCGGCGAGGCGCAGTCGCTGGAACGCATCCCCAGGGCGGAGCACCCGCCAGAAACTACGAACACGCCCGAAAACCCGAACTACGAACCTCGAAGTCCGAGCCGAAACTACGAACTACGAACCTCGAACCTCGAACCCGAACCCCGAACCCGAACCCGCCAGAAACTACGAACTACGAACCTCGAAGTCCGAGCCGAAAACACGGCAGAAGCAGAAGCTTTTCCGGAGCTCCGCGCGGGCTTCCTGGACCTGCGCACGGGCCCTCCGGGGCTGGCGCCTCCGGCGCCGGGAGGAGGAGGAGGAGGAGGAGGAGGAGGAGGAGGAGGAGGAGGAGGAGGAGGAGGAGGAGGAGGAGGAGGAGGAGGAGGAGGAGGGAGGAGGAGGAGGAGGAGGAGGAGGAGGAGGAGGAGGAGGGCCCGCGCGCCGGGGAGGGGACGCCCAGCGCGCCGTTCCGAGAGCTTGACGCGCGCAGCTCCGGAAGTTCCCAAGCTTCGCGCGCGCGCGCCGTTCCGAGAGCTTCGCGCGCGCGCAGCTCTGGAAGTTCTTGTTTGCGCTCATTCTGTTCCCAAGGTCGTCGTCCCCGCCCCACACACCATCGCGTCGCGCCAAAAAAATCGGGGCGGATGCTTTTCGCAGTCTGCGGCCTCCCGGGGCCCTCGCCGGGCCTCGGGGCCGTCCAAAAACGGTCCAGGATGAAAAGCTGCTCCCAGGGAAAGGATCGGGACTGCGGGGACCGCGTGTCGAAAAGATCAGGACGTCGCATGTTCGGGAAGGTCGCCTCGCCGAAGGATGTGCGATCCTGTGCAGATCAGAGGCCTTGCTAAGATTGTTGGCGGCTCCGTCGTGATCAGACCACAGCACAGCAGAGGGTTCATGAACCAAGCATGGCCGCGAGGAGTGCTCGAATGCGAAAAAGTCTCCCCGAAGGTCTCTCTGGGGCCCTCTGGGGCCGTCTTGAGGGCCTGGTGGGGCCCTCTGCGCACGCCCTGGGGCCATCTTGGGCCCGAAAAGGTCGCGCGGCAACGCTTCCCGGAGCCCAGGAGATTTGAGAATTTGGGGCCCAGGCCCCTAAAGAACCCTCAGCGTCGAGGACTGAGGCTCAGGGGAGTTGGCACTTGAAAGGAAGACCCGCCCACTGGCGCGGTGGCAGGTTCTTTTGCTATACCAGGTGGCAGGTCGCCCCGAACCTGGCGACTGCATTCATGTGCACGCATGCGCGGTGGTTGCAAATCCATGCGCGCGTGCGCACGCGAACTCACAGAAGCAGCGCTTCCCGTTCTTGTCCGGAAAGGTTTTGTTTCTACAGTGGGGGCGCGCATCAAGAAACCATGTGCTTTGCGTCAGGGTATCCTGGGTTTCTTCGCTCTTCGCGTTGCGCGGTGACTTCCCGCAGCCGTTGAAGGAACTGCTGCGTTCAGGGTGCTCCAGGTTTCCCCTCAGGTGCACCTCGCGCACGGGTTCTCAGGGGTGGGTTTCTTGGCGAGGGCTTCTTGCGGCCGCGCCCGCACTGCATACCAGGTGGCAGGTCGTCTCCCCGAAGGTCCTGAACATCCTCGACTCTGTGCAGTCCGCCTCGGAACTGCCGAGGTCCTCGGGGCAGGGCGAGGTGAGGCAGCGGCGTGGCGGCTCGGAATTCGCCCCCCGGGACCCCTCCCAGGGTCCCAACGCACCAGTTTTCCGGGCTGCGTCCAGCCGTGGCGACGAGGGCCCCCCGAAGACCAACTGCTGGTGTTCCCACATTTGTCTAGGGGGAAGCCAATAGGCACCGATAGTGCTGCTCCACGAATCTCTCCAGGGGTGCGTTCTGGCGTGAATCTCGTGGCAAATCCAGCCGTGGCGGCGAGGGCCTCCCGGGAGGCCCCCGAAAAAGAAGGGAAGCAAGGGAAGCATGGCGGTATGGGTACCCTTCTTGCTCGTCTGAGGTTCTATTCCTGGGAGACGTTCCGCATCCACGACTGCCTCGAGAAGGACGTGTGGTACCTGCGCCAGATCGCAAGGCATCTGCGCGAGCCAGCCCCCTCCGCGAAGTGAGGTGCTGCAAGCGGCGGGGGGCTGGCCAGCCGCGCCAGCCAAAAGTGATGCCGTGGCCGCACCCTCCGCTGCAGGCGAGGCCTCCATTGGGGAAGAAGCACACAGCACACGTTAAGTAGGGCTTGTCCCTCTACAGAATGTCATATTCAAAAGTACTGAGAAAATGGTCTGGGGAAGGTTTTCTAACCATCTCTGGCCATTTCTGAACATTTCCCGCCTGTTTCGGATTTTTCGTCCAAGATGCGCCTGTAGGGGGACACGCCCGACCTAAGGCACACGCTCGGGAAATGTGGCTCGTAGCGTGTCGCGCAGCCAGACCTGGCCCACCACGCCTCGGCGCGAGACGCCATCCACGTCCCAGCCCCCAGGCGTCGATGCCCCGAGCGTTCCCCCTCCCGCCCCGCGGAGAGAGGGAGGAGGAGGAGGAGGAGGGGGAGGAGGAGGAGGAGGAGGAGGAGGAGGAGGAGGAGGAGGAGGAGGAGGAGGAGGAGGAGGAGGAGGAGGAGGAGAGGAGGAGGAGGAGAGGAGGAGGAGGAGGAGGAGGAGGAGGGAGGAGGAGGAGGAGGAGGAGGAGGAGGAGGAGGAGGGAGGAGGAGGAGGAAGGAGGGGAGGAGGAGGAGGAGGAGGAGGAGGAGGAGGAGGAGGAGGAGGAGGAGGAGGAGGGAGGAGGAGGAGGGAGGAGGAGGAGAGGAGGAGGAGGAGGAGGAGGAGGAGGAGGAGGAGGAGGAGGAGGAGGAGGAGGAGGAGGAGGAGGAGGGAGGAGGAGGAGGAGGGAGGAGGAGGAGGAGGAGGAGGAGGAGGAGCGGAGCGACGCGCTATCCGCTCGCAGGGCAGAGCGCGTGCCGGGGGCCGCCGCGGCGACACGCTGAGCAACAGTTCCTGACCGTAGACATGAACTTGGAGGAGCTCCGCGCGGATTTCCTGGACCAGAGCTGGAGCTCCCTGGCGGCACCTCTGGCGCAGCCCCTGGCGCGCGGCAGCGCCGCTCCCAGAAGTCCGCGCGGGGCTCCGCGAGTGTGTGCTTCTGCGGCTTGCTCTTCCTCTATATATCGCTGCAGGTGAGACGTGCACTGGGGCCGACATCGCCCACCTCTCTGGGCGGATGACTCGCAGGTCCAGGCGCTGGAGGGAAGCGCCGGGACGGCCGGTGTTTCGTCGGTGTCGGCCTCTGGAGGCCGCCGCCCAGCCGCGGGACCGCCGGGAGGCGAGTCTGGCTGAGAGGCGAGCCCCCCCAGCGAGGTGGTCGAGATCTCAGTTGTTCTTAAAAACGTTGGGGGCGTTTTTTTTTTTCCCGTTTTCAACTTTTCGTGTTGCGGTCGACCAAAACAGAAAAAAAGAAAAACGGCAACCCAAAACAGAAAGAAAACGACACCCGCCGGCCCCAAAACAAACAACAACAAAAAAACGGAAAGCGAAAACAGTTTGAAAACGGAGATCTCGACTCGAGATCTCCGGGCCGGCGACCACAGGGGGCACGGTGACGCCGGGGTGTGGCTTGCGATCGGCACCGTTGGGGCCTGGGGGGGCACGACGCTGTCCTCATCGGCCCTCGGGGCGCGCGCGGGGGAGAGCTCTGTCGAGGTCCTCGCCCGCCCCCCCAGGGTGCCCCCCGGGAGGCCGGTTGCAAGCCACACCCTTTGCAGACCACACCCTTCCGAGTCGCCGACCCGGAGGCCGACGTCACGAACAAAATTACGGAGGACTGCAGGGAAGAATCGCCATTCTCGTGACCGTCAGGCCAACCCGAGTCCCCCGGATCATACCTCCGGAGATGGATGAGGTCGGGACTGCAGTGGAATTCGGTTGCACCAGCTCGTCTCGCACGTGAGGTGCACGTAGGTACGCTTTTTTAACGGGAGGCGCGTGAGATCACGCCCGATCGAATTTTTGGAGCCCTTCGACGCTCCACCGAGCGACCTCCGAAGGCTGGCGCCACTTCCTCCGATCCTTTTCTGGTAGTGTCTGGGGCTGTGACCGGCCACCGCGGCCGCTGGTTGAGGGAAGTAAGGAGCACGGGAGGGAAGGCCCATGCGGAGGAGGAGGAGGAAGATGAGCAGGAGTAGGAGGAGGAGCATGAGGAGGAGGAGGAGCAGCATGATGATGCTGATGATGCTGATGATGATGATGCTGATGATGATGATGATGATGATGATGATGATGGTGATGATGATGATGGTGATGATGATGATGATGATGATGATGATGATGATGATGATGATGATGATGATGATGATGATGATGGTGATGGTGATGGTGATGGTGATGGTGATGGTGATGGTGATGGTGATGGTGATGGTGATGGTGATGATTAGGATAAGTAGGAGGAGGAGGAGGAGGAGGAGAGCATGAAGAGTAGCTTGATGAAATGGAGGAGGAGGAGAAGGAGGAGGAGCCCTGAGATCCCGGCGTTGCATTGTTTCCACACTGGGCGTTGTCGCCCGGATCGGGCCCCAGGACCATCGAAGACCTCGATCCGGCTCGAAAAGCGCCGCAGAAAGATGAGGTCTGCACGTCGGTCGTTGAAAGTTGTTACTAGTGGATTCCCAGATCCCAATATACTTCCTGCGCCTTCCTATTGCGAGAATCGATATGCTGCTGCTGTGTTCTGTTGTTCTCCTGGAGGGCCTGAACCCGACCTACTCGAATCCGCCTTCCCACTCCGTGTTTCTTCCTGCTTCTTCCGGCCGAGGTTTCCAGTCGTGATTGTTCACGACGCTGCAATCTGGTTCGTAGAAGTCGGACTTCAGAGAGGAGGATGAGGACGAGGAGGAAAAGTAGTCATGAGGAGGTGGAGCACGGGGAGGACGAGGAGGAGATAGGGGGGAGCAAAGTGGGGGACGGCGGAGGGCAGATGTCTCAGCCTCTCGTGCGCGCCTGGGGGGCCTCGAGGAGCTCCTTGGCCACCTCGCGCGGGCAAAAAAGCTTAGAAAGCGCAGGACAGCGAAACAGTAATTGTCTGTGTTTCCATTGTCTCTTCTCGCGTTCTCTCCTCTTTCGCTTCCGCGCCGCGCATCCAGCGCATCCCTCTGGTGCACCCCACAGCTCACTTTGACCAGCGCCTGACCGTCTCGCACACCCTGGCGCCCGCGGACTTAAACAAGTGTTTCTGTTGTTGCTTTTCATCTCAGCTGCACCCGCTCTCACACCGCCGTCGCTCGTCGTCGGAGTAGCACCTGCACCACGGCGGCTCGGTCGGGTACAAACGTGTGCGTGTTCCATGGGATTGGACGTCTGGTGCCTCCTTGGGGTGCGCTTGGGCCATCTACTGGATCTCCCGTGCATGTTCGCCGAAAGTCGTAAGTCGGGCATGTCCCTCTGCAGGAGGAATAGTGAAAATGTGTAAAAAATAGTCTGGGGACGATCTGCTGACTATTGTCTAATACTTTTTGATTATGTTTGGCGTAGTTTCTTACTGTTCCTCAAAATCTGCCTGTAGGGGGACATGCCCGACCCAATGAGAGTCCTTGCGAGCTGCCCTGGCGGCCTCCAGTGGCCGTCTTGGACCGGTGCCTCGTCGCCCTCGTGGGTGTACGTGGCCGCGGGGCCCGCCTTGCCGAAGCCCGTGCTCCCGCCTCCTCCTCCTCCTCCTCTTCCTCCTCGTCCTCCTCATCCTCATCATCCCTCCACCCCACGCCTCCCTCCTCCTCCTCCTCCTCCTCCTCCTCCTCCTCCTCCTCAGATTCGCATCGCGTGACGGCTCTAAGTCGCCGGTCCTGGCCCTCCCCGTGTGCTGGTGGTCCCCTTTGCACCTCCCAAGCGCCCTGGCCCTCCCAATCGCGAGAGTCGGCCCCTCGGGGGCGGGGGGAGGAGGAGGAGGAGGAGGAGGAGGAGGAGGAGGAGGAGGAGGAGGAGGAGGAGGAGGGACGGAGGAGGAGGAGGAGGAGGAGGAGGAGGGAAGGAGGGACGGAGGAGGAGGAGGAGGAGGAGGAGGAGGACGAGGAGGAGGAGGAGGAGGGCCAGTGCCAGCCCGAGGCGCATCGACGCTATGCAACAGTTTGTCTCTCCAAGTTCCCCCTTCACAGATTCCTACAAAAGTTTAGTGTCATCCTGGGAACTGCCCCTATTAGAAGACAACCGTTTGAACATTCTCAACCGTGCCAAATTACCAGACCTGGGGTTTCAACGTAGCGAACCAACCTGACTGGTGCGCCCTGATAATCCTAAATCTTGCCAAAACACCGTTCCTGGGACCTTAACGCCGCGAATCAACCTTACTACTGCGTACTGATAATCCCGAGCCATCCCAGAATTCCACTCCTGGGACTTCAAGCCTACGAATGTTTGAACATGTAGCGAACTTTTGAGACGAATATGCGCGGCGCTGAGGCGAGAGCCACCTTTTGAAAAGGATCCGCCCTCCATCCTTGAAGCTGCTGTAAATTTTTGTAACGCGTGTGCACCGCGCTGAGGCGAAAACCATATTCTGAAGACCACCCGCCCTCCATCCTTGAAACTGTTGCAACATGAAACAGGGTGGAGGAGGGGGAGGAGGAGGAGGAGGCGGAGGAGGAGGAGGAGGAGGAGGAGGAGGAGGAAGAGATGTTTCGTCGGCCGTTCTAGGTTTGGGGGGCCTCTTCCCTCCCTCCTCCCGCCTTCCTCCATCGTGGTTGCTGCTCATGCCGCCTTCTCCTCCCCTCCTGCCTCCCTGTCCTCCTGCTGCTCCTCCTCGTGCCGTCCCCTTTCTGGTCGGTCCTCCTCCTCCTCCTCCTCCTCCTCCTCCTCCTCGTCCTCCTCCTCCTCGTCCTCCTCCTCCTCCTCCTCCTCCTCATCCTCCTCCTCCTCCTAATACTTGTTCTGGCTGCCAGAAGCGGGCTACTTCCAGAAAATGACCCCTCCCCTGCCCACCAGGCCGCGGCGCGCACTGGCGGGGGCGAGGGCCGCACACCCCCCGTGACGGTAGAACCACGGGCCCGCAGCCCGGAGTCTTGACGAGGAGAGGGGGGGGGGGAGAGTTTCCTTCGCGCCTCGCACGCAGGAGGAGGAGGGGGAGGAGGAGGAGG